ATAATAGAGATGGAAATGTTTTTCAGTCAATTTGTAAAATAACTGAATATTTAGATGTTTAATAAATATGTTACACATTTTGACAGTAAAAAAATATACACACTATAAAAAAAGCAATGCTCAGGTGAAATATTTACTTTATGTTGCAAGTAAAAATAGTGTAAACGAAAATCGCAAAATTACCAAGCAAGTGACTTATCAAAACTTCGTCACCATTACCGATGCTACCCACAAAGATACCTACATTTCCTTATTATCTCGAAAACTGTATTTCATTTTGTTGATCAATGTGACCATACGCCCTAATTACTACCGGTATCCATAAAAGTGACTAATGCGCTTACGAATGGCCCAGCAGAGGTCGCGAACTAGTCTAGATTTCTGCTATACATCCGGGTACTCACTGGGAAAAAACAATAACAAAGGCAACAACCAGTCCCGGGGAATTGCGTTAGATCAGTGCCCCTTTAATCTTTTGTTTTTATTTATGCATATACCAAGACCGGTGATTAAGTCTAAAGACACGGATCAATCCCAAGACCAAGCCGAGCCGACCCCTACTGATTCTGTCGATATTTCATCTTCGCTTCCACTTTATCCTCCTTCTTGGTGGATGGTGACAGTCTCTGACAACTTCCTCATTGACGACGTTCCCACAGTAACAGTCTAACCATTTGTCACCAGTATGTCCGTATCAACAATTCTGTTGGAGCAAGCAGCAGCCTTTTGATGGTTTGTCCAAGCCAGCCTCCGAAGTGCCCCTGATTGATTGTCTGCATTCATCTGCTACTGCAGATGGGGATTGATGAAGCCAGGATCACGCTTGCGCTTTTGAATAGGATTGCCTTCCTTCATCAAAGATTTGCCGTTCCTATGATCTATGTTTCGTCCACCTTGTTACCTTAAGGATTGGGTTTGATACCCTTCACACATTGTATCCGTATCAGCACAGAATCCACAACACTGACTGTTGATATGGGTTTGGCAAGACACCTAGACACCCCTATGGGATGCTGCAGTGAGGGACAGAACCAAGACCACCTATACTTCTGGCTTTCAGTCATATGTTGCCTTTCTCCTCAGATATAGCCTGTACTCTACATGCTCAAGCCTTACACGGGCAGCACAAGGTCTGCCACAAGTTGATTCTGAACTTCTGCAACGATATGTGGCCTATTGTTTTGGTGAAGTGAAACTACAGCATAGAACTATCAAATCTCACCTTGCGGGTATTCTGTTCACTTATCTGAAGGCAAGTGTATACTGGTGGTCTAAATCAGCTATGAACTCTGCTTCATGGATACAAGAAGCTACAACAACAGTGTGCCTAAATGCTTACCTATAGCCTTCAATGTTTCTGAAGAAGATTGTGTGTACACTACGCAAAGGGGTGCTCGGACCTTTTTAATGATCTGGTAATGGAGGTCATGTGCACCACTGCTTTCTTGGTTTTCTATGATGTGCAGAGTTCACTTGTTCAAGTGACTTTGATGCAAGTACCAATTTAAGCCGATCTGATATCCCAGTAGACCATAATACATGAAAGTGTACCCTTGTTCTCAAAGCTTCCAAAACAGACATTTTTAGACAGGGTTTGGCAATTCCCTTCTTGGCCAACCACTCTACCATTTGCCAATCTGAACCGCTTGAAACAAGTAAGACGACCTCATGGCGCCATGGGCAGTGACGCTCTGTTTGTTGCCTGTGTTGGGAAAGCCTTTTCGCATACTATGTTCCTGTAATGGCTTAATATGACTATGAAACATGCACGTCTCGACACAGCTAAATACTCTGGACAGTCATTTTGCATAGGGGCAGCGACTTCTGCTGCTATACAGTTTGTATGGAAGACCAACTCATTAAGACACTGGGTAGATGGCAGTCAAACTGTTATACACTATATGTGGAAACCCCAGAAGCGGTAATTAAGAATGCTCAGTTGTCTTTAATTACATGTTCACAAGATACCTTGTCATTGAGAACACTCTGACCAGCTACATTGAAATGTTTTTTATGGTTGATTCCATTGCATTATGTTTATGTATCTTCTCTGTTCATTTGTTGCCACTTGCCATATTGGACATGCTTTAGGTACACCATGTACTTTCCTTACCACACCTTGCACACCTTGGGGGCTCTCGTTCTTGTGAGGATGTACCCATCTAATCACTTGCTTTTCGACTTGGTCCTATATCCCACAAGCCTAAACCAGAGCTCAGGTCGCAGCCAATATCCGCAGACCACTGTCTGAGTTGCCACAGCAGCCCAAGGACCATCACCTAGCTCTCGGCCATTCCTCTCTTTGGGATAAAGTATCAGTCAGTCAGTGCCAAACATTATTATGTATGTTGTTTTATCATGTGTATTATAAATTTTGTATTTTCTCCTCATTGCTTGTTGTGTTTGCACAAATAAATTTTGCATTGATTTTTTTGCGATCTATTAGACAAAGTTCTCTGTTATATCTTGATATCAGTACCTACTTATGTATATTATTCTGCAAGAAAGGAAGTTCTTTTATTGATGAGGTGACTGTTTACAGCTCAACCTAAATGCACCATGTACAAAACTTTCATGATTAGGTCAGACCTGCATTTGTTGTGCAGAGATATTGTTTTAGAAGAAGACTTCAATTTCCGATCATTGTGATCTCTGGGCTGAATTCAAAGATTTGTTGCATTGAAATAACCTAATGGACAAGCAGTAACTATCAATAAATCCGACCTCTTCTGATTTATTTATCAGGGCAAATCAGCAAAGAACAAAATTAAGAAAAACAGCCAGCTTTGAGGGAATTTTTAAAATTGTTGTCTTCAATGTTTGTGAATTTTAAATCAGAAATTTCGCAGGATATTACTTAAAAAGTAGACAGTGCAAGAAGTCATTATGCAAGCTTAGACGCCAAGCTAGCTAAGGCTTACAAAACAAAGGAGCCCGGGACCCTGGATCTGGCGTTCTGTATGGTGGGGTCCATGGCTTGTCAAGCCATGGATGCAGATCAGTGATCCTGGACCTGGATCTGTCTGACAAGTGTCTCTGTGTCTGTTCAGCTGGATCAGTTCCGCTTATCCCACGGGTTGAGAAGCTTGTAATGTAGTGAGTACGTAGTTACCGGTAGACTGATTCACACTATTATAGCTGCTATCACTATTATACGTCACATCTCCTGTTAAACCTGCATAATAAAGTTCTGTTCTGTATCAGTTCAAGGGACATAAACACGGAAACTGTTGTGCACGGTGGCTGTGATTCATATGAGGAAAAGGGATCTAAGTGGGGTGAAGCAGGATTGACTGTTGATGGACACATGTGCTACTTATAACCTCCGGATCAAGGTCACGGGAATCAAGTTCATCAATAGACATCGGATCAGACTTTATTTGTTTCACCAAACCTTCATCTGTGTAAAAGCAATTTTAGCAGATCAATATGTGTTTTGGTTACCCAACTTGAACTTTTATGTGCATAAAGGGTCTCCTAGTTAATTATCCCCAGCACATATTTTGCTGCCTGTCTGGAATAATGTTCAGAATTTGGAAATGGTTCACAAGCTGATTCCTGTCACCAAACCATCTGGGGAACCAGTTCAAGTTTTACCAGATGTTTGGGGAAATTCTGTTTTTTTTTAGCTCCAGTGAGAAGTCCAAAGTTGTCCCTGATGTATACAACAACTGTACGAGAGACTTTATTTACACTGAATGACAATTTATTGATATTGAAGTTTAAAGATTAACTACCCTAATAACCGGCCAACCGGTTTATGTCATTCATCAGCGGATGTTTGAATCGCAATTGCCTGAATCAGATTTTCATTTGTTGTATCTCAGACGAACTAAAGATCATCATGTGTCCGTTTTTTGGAAGGATTTAAAATATATGAACAATCATGCATGTATGTGACTGGATATTTTGTCCTGTATCAATTGATAGGGAGCAGAAATTAATCAGCTATTCCCTTCAACCTTCAGTGACTATACATGCATCATCCTGATTTGCTTGTCACAATTGTCACAATGTCACACTCTTGATCCTCTGACGGGTAACAGCCAAAGGAATACTCGAGGCATATCTGTGACAAGAGGGATATTGTCTGTGTCCAAACTAGGACTGGGATGGTAACTCGGGTACCCGGGGTGGTGGGTACTGAGTAGGACTCGGGTACCCACAGGACAACCCGGACCCAGGGTTAGTCATGTGATATATAGTTTAATGACAAAAATTATCTAGTACTCTATGATTACAGTACAAGTCACTAATGTTCACATTTCTTTCTGACTATGCACCCATTCATTCTGACTTTTCATATGGTTGAATAAAGACATAACTTAAGTCAGCTTCAGTGTATGCATGACCAGATTGTTTAATACATGTATCTAAATACGTTTTGCAAGTGGTGTAGTAAAAAAATTCCCAATCGTACATTTTGTATCTCTTGAGACCTACAGTGGGTACCCGGGTAGGGTCAGGTACCCGGGTAGTAAATTTGGACTCGTCCCAGCCCTAGTCCAAACCTCAACAAACAATCAACCAAACTACAATAGCTGTGTCACTTACCTGGATATCATAGATTTCTTCAGGAGTTAGGGAGTGAATGTTGTTCAGTGCCACAGTCAGCAATATTCTGTCTATTTCATAGCAGCCTCATACTTTTTGAGCTTGGATCAAACAAACCAAAAATATATGTGTTGAAATGCACAGTGGTATGAAAAAAATCATCTTTTGACAACCTTTGAAAAAGAATATTAATGTTGGGAAAATGTCACTCTTTACCACAAGTAAAGTACAAGGTTAAAGGCACAGTATTATTGGAAATTGAAATTGGATGGTTATGTTGAAGAATATCATTTTGTTTTTGTTTTTCCACATTTTTCAATAAGTATAAAGATAAATCTACCGTTATTACCACAACTGTAAAAAGAATATAAAAAGAATGTAAATGAATATTGTTATGTACATGTAAATATAAATATATAAACCAATATTTCTTTTTGTCATTTCAGGTTTCTATAGGTTATCTGCCAAACAAGAGGATTCTAGGTCTCAGTAAATTAGCCAGGTAAGAATCTTTATTGGTGGTTTTATGAACAACCTTGTTACCAGGTCAAATGGTCACAGACTAATTGAGCTTCATACATTCAGATATTCCAACAGATAACAAATTGTCTCTTATGAAAGTCCATCTTCCTGAGGCAAGGGAGTTAACTGACTGTAAAAGTTCAGTTTGCACCCTTGACAAACTAGCCTGGAATTTTGTGGCCCGGTCATAGCGCCACCAGTGGCAATTACGAGTTATGTCCCTTCTATGTCCCTCCTACTTACCAATCTGATTCCACCTTACTTATCACTTGCATTTGCTTCTAACAAAATGGCGGCGCCCAGTCAAGTCGATCTAATCGATTATCAAGATCCTTATTGTAATAAAATGAGTCTTACCTCGCGATCACTTGAGCACCTTGATTAAAAACATGAAAAGATTTGGACAACATCTGTTGACACCCAGTTTGCAGTACACATGGTTTGCAATTCCTGTAGTTGACTGAAATCTGCACCGAAGTCGCCATGTTGTTTACGAACCAAATGTCCATTTCATTAAGCGATTTCCAGCCAAATATATAACTCCATAATTCCAGCCTCGTTTAGCAAGAAACTGGACTTATATAGTCAGTTAACTCCCTTGCCTCAGGAAGATGATGAAAGACGGTACAAGTTTGCTTGAATATAAACGTGAATGGTTTCCTGAAAATAACTTTGAAAATAACTGAAGGAATTTGACCAAATTTGATTTTGAGATATTCCTTTCTAAATGATATGTGAAGGGCAATAACCAATAAGGAGTTCCAACTCTGTGATAATTCTAATAACCTTGCCCACTTCAGTTTGCTGCTACACTGCTGTAAGTGATGGGGGGTTTGTCGATTGATCATACACACAGTGAACTCTATCCTGCGTTCAAGCTGCTGCTCTATTTATGGTGACCCGCATGACCCAGGGTCAAGCCCTATCCAGAATACTGTAATTCATGAAATTGGTGTGAGCTTGAGATTAATGTCCTTGTTAAATTTAATAAAGGGACAAATTTTTATATGGAGAAATTGGAGGATATTGTCATCTCAGGTTCGCTGCATATGGGTGAAAATTATGAGGTACATTACATAACTTACTGTAAACTTTGTAATTGAGCGCGAGCTTAGTGCTTCTCACCAAGTGCTCAGTGTTGTAAACTTGGTAATTGAACGCGAGCTTAGTGCTTCTCACCAAGTGTTCAGTGTTGTAAACTTGGTAATTGAGCGCGAGCTTAGTGCTTCTCACCAAGTGTTCAGTGTTGTAAACTTGGTAATTGAGCGCGAGCTTAGTGCTTCTCACCAAGTGTTCAGTGTTGTAAACTTGGTAATTGAGCGCGAGCTTAGTGCTTTTCACCAAGTGTTCAGTGTTGTAAATTTGTTTACAAGTTGATGAAACAGGTAAGACAATCGCAAACAATGTATGACAGCATCTTTGTTCTTGGTTACCTTGTCAAATCATTTTATCATTACAAGAAAACTCTGCTCACCCACATAGTGACACATAGTGACAATGTCTATACAGTAATAGTTGTTGTAATTTATGTTTAAAAGATTTGGCTAACATATAACTTAAGTCTGAACTTGATGATATTGTTTTCTGGTTGTTTTTTAATGTTCAGTGGTAGGGTACCTTGCATTAATTTCTTGTTTATATTAGGCAAGGGGTAGATCGTTGCATCAATGTGGTGATGCATGGATTTCATGATTTACAGTATATATCTTGGCAGCAGTCAATGGCTACCCAGTAGAATGAGATGGCAATATGGTTGTTAACATTCTAGCATCTCACACGTCAGCTTGGGTTGTATACTCCTTAGGGAGCTGAGAATGATGGTTGAGAGTACACTGATCCATTGACTTGGGTAATAGTAGTGCAGTGCTTTGACCATGCCCCTGTGGTGTGGATATGGCGCAGTATATATAGGCCTATTATTATGATTATTATTATGATTATGATGATGATGATGATGATGATGCCTTGTCAAACCCACCCAGAACTTTTCGGAGAATGTAAAGACTGCACAACACTGCAGCTTTCTGCATTACCCAGATTGTCAAAGGGCTGTATTCCTGGTAGCAAACCCGGGTACTATCCCAATGTCAGTCAACAGATTGGGAGGTACCAAACCTAAGGCACCGAGAACAATGGGGAGTCGGACAACTTGGTACTTGGGATGCAAGCCTGACTTTTCGAAAGCGAGATCCACGTATTTGCCATGTTTTTCCTCAATCTTGTCAATCACATTAGTGTCAAAGGGGACAGAAAATTCAATGGTATAAATGATTTCAATGGATTTATCAAAAAGGACAAGATCAGGTTAGTTGACCTGGATACTGTCTCAGGCTGTATACGGGCCTATTCCAAAGAATTTTGTAAATAACAAATCAATCTACTGATCGGTTCCGTCATTTGTTGCTGAGAAAAGGTGTATATCCTTACGAATATATGGATGAGTGGTCTAGATTTGACGAAACTAAATAACCACCCCTTGAATCATTCTAAAGTAACTTAACAGAATCTAAAATAACAGATACCGATTATGAACACGCTCTGACGATTTGGGATAGATTAGGTTGTAAGATTTTAGGTGATTATCACGATCTGTACTTAAAAACCGATGTACTGTTACTCGCCGATATATTCGAGATATTTAGAAGGACATGTTTAAAACAATATGGCTTGGATCCGGCATGGTACTATTCCAGTCCTGGACTATCGTGGGATGCATTGTTGAAGAAGACCGGTGTAGAACTAAAACTACTCACCGATTACGATATGCACTTGTTTATTGAGAAAGGATTAAGAGGTGGTATATCGATGGTAGCGAAAAGGTATTCTAAGGCTAATAATAAATTAGTGGAAGGATATGATCCGAGTAATACCGACACTCACATATTATATCTCGACGCCAACAATTTGTATGGATGGGCTATGAGTCAACCTTTACCCTTGGGGGGTTTTGAGTGGGTCGATGATATCTAAATGAGTGAATGATATCAATGTGACTGATGCGAATAAAGGGTACATACTAGAAGTTGACTTGGAATATCCAAATTCGTTACATAAAGACCATAACAGTTATCCACTAGCTCCCGAAAGATTAATGGTGAATAAAGATTGGATGTCGGAATATCCACACTCCTTGATGGGTAATACTACGTTAGCTAACGTAGAAAAACTCGTACCAAATTTGATGGATAAGACAAAATATATAGTTCACTACAGAAATCTCCAGTTATATCTATCGTTAGGTATGAAACTAAAGAAAATACACAGAGTTCTAAAGTTTGATCAAATTAAGCCCTTGGATGGAGCCCTATATAAGGCTGAATACAGATTTAAGAAAGAAAGCTACCAGCGATTTCGAAAAGAATCTATATAAGCTCATGAATAACTCAGTATTTGGTAAAACTATGGAGAATCTAAGGAAGCGTGTTGATGTTAAATTAGTCAGGTCTAATGAGGAAGAAAGACTCAGGAAACTTATAGCCAGTCCGGCTTTTAACAGAAGCAAGATATTTGTTAACGACTTAGCCACGTTGCATATGCAGAAGAGTAATATAAAATTCAACAGACCGGTGTACGTCGGTATGAGTATTCTTGACTTGTCAAAACACTTAATGTATGACTTTTATTACAACGAACTTAAGAAGCAATACGGCGATAGATGCGAGGTGTTATATACCGACACAGATTCTTTGTTGATGGAAATACAAACCGAGGATGTGTATAAAGATATGGCAGAAAAAATAGATATGTACGACACGAGCGATTACCCAAAAGATAATCCACTGCACAGCGTAGTAAATGAAAAAGTGTTAGGTAAGATGAAGGATGAATGTGCTGGGACCCCTATAGCGGAGTATGTCGGATAAAGACCTAAGATGTATTCTATAAAGAAGTCCGATAATGGAGAGATAAGAAAAGCTAAGGGTGTTAAGAAGTATGTGGTAAAAAAGCATATCAAACACGAACAGTATAAAGAAGCATTATTCAACGGTAGAACATTCAAACACGAGATGAACTCTTTGAGGAGTTACAATCACAGGATATATGGATTAAGAATGAACAAGACATCATTATCCCCCTTAGATACAAAGAGAAGGATTGATAATGATGGTGTAACTACCTATGCTTATGGTTATGGCGGTAATACTGTATCGTTGGGAACTATGAGCAACTCTTCTCATACAAATGCCCTGCCCAGTCCATCTTTAAGATAATAAAGAATAGGCTCTCCTTCTTTCATAACCAACCGACTACTGCTATATATCTTAAGAGACCAAATCAGATCGGTTGCGCGATGTAGGCCTCCTTCGAGTTCACCGGCCTGGTATAAATATCTTACCCTTACTCTATCCGGAAGTTTTTGTTCTTTGCCTCTCCTCGGTGCTGAAGATTCGGAAGTCACAGATTTCATTTTAATCGCATCGGATGGTTTTATCTCATTACTTTATTATTCAGCGCTGATACAACAGCTGATAATCGTGTCACCCATTCGGTTGATCTGTATCATTCCAATTTCATTTCGATCCCATACTGATAGCCAAACAAACGTTCCGCTAATGTCCGGTTAAATCTTTCAACGATAGCTTGACTACGGTGGGCCTCTTTTTCACCACGCCTGATTTCGACATCGTGCTTTGTTAACAGTTTAGTTACTGATCCCTTAAACTCACGACCAGGATCTACTTGAAATAGCTTAGGCCATTTTAGTGGTCCGCATTTATATATGCGGCTCAGTGCATTAGCTACTTCTGTTGAATCTTTCAAGGTTAATGGCTTAGCCTCTTTGTACCGACTAGCCACATCCACTACTGTTAAAGCGTATTTATACATTTTGCGTCTTACCTTATCATGGGGAAGAAACAAGAGGTCAGCCTGATGAACTTCATTCTTTGTAAAAATATCAAACTTCTTCCTCGGTATATAGCGCAGTGCTGGTAAGTATATTTGCCACATCGCTTGTTTCTTTAACCAATCCTTGGCCAC